GTACCAAGAATTCCTTTAAAACTAAGTGGTACTGTGACACTATTTAGCAATGGTAATTGGCTTACTAATTAAGCATTTAAATTAAAAACAAGAAATACTTAAGGCAAGAAAGATCAGATAGTGACGCGCCAAGGGAAGCAGAATTCAGGGAGGAATGACAAAAGGACCAATTCTATAATTGAATCTTTCTCTTCATATCTTTCTTCTTCCTGGTAATAGTGGAGGGGTAAGGAAATAGATATCCCAAATACCGAACATCCCAGGGGTAACTTTAACAGGGATAATGGTGATTTTACTCTTAGTGTCTTTTTGGACTCTCCCCCACATACCCTAGACAAGCTGATGGGTTTCTGTGTGGCCACTGCCCACACCCCATCTGAAACACTGATAGCTTGTGGTAATGCCGTGTTTGCTAATACCTCTACTTGACAAGTTCTCTTAATTCACTCTTTCTTCCCTTCAAACAATTATAGTATGCACATTTTGCAGTTACCAGCTACATAGATGGGGTTCAATGATGTACAAATCCCCAGAGCATCATTTCTACACTTTCTAGATTCTTCAGCTGTTAGCAACATGAACTTTGTTCTACTCGAATTTAAAGCTATGTATTCCGTTTCCACCTTGTACCTTGCCACCATTCCCAAACCTTGATCTCTTCTGGGGTAGGGAATAGGTAAATTTATAACCTGGTATATCTCGAATATACTCTCTCTATCCAACAACGGAATAGACATCAAAACTAATAGTTTTCTATTTTCCAACAAGGTCACACATCCCAGTGCATTATAATATTTCCACAATTCTTTGGTGGGATCTGTTGAATTATCAATGACTGTCAGTCTGCCAAGAGTTATCTGCTCTTAGTTTTAATTATCTCCTCTTCTCTCTTTTTACACAGTCCCTAATGTAAATAAAGCGTTCACCTCGTACGTGTGTTAAGTAAAACATGTCTATGTGGTTTTTATTAAATTTGTCTTCCAGTCTGAAGTATCAAGTCTAATAAAAACAAGGTATGTTTCGATCTGATTGATTCTTGACTTTATAATTTTCTTTTTTCAGGATCCACTGGCAGTCTTAAATGATGGGGTAACTCGGTCTGTATTCCGAGTAGCACTTCCCTTAAGTAACCCGGGTTTACTATGTTTGGGGACAGGTGTCCCAATGACAACATGTCTAATTGCGCTTTCACATGTTCCAGTAAGGTTGTCAACGACAGACTAGTTTGTCGTACCTTATTCGTAATTGTCGTTAGTTGGAAATATCTTTGCATAAATCCACTTATTTCCTGTAATTCCATCATTACAGTTTCTGTATCATTAATTACCTCTTGTCTCAACCCGGCTAGGTTATTTATTAACCAATTAATTCTGGCTCTATTCTTGGCCACTTCCAAACTTGTCATATTTAATATTAACACACTCTCCCTTGCCACTTGAGCCAGCGTCCTCTGATTTATTTCCACTTCTCCCAGTTTTCTTCTTATGAATTTAACATCATCTTCAGTCACTGTTCCAAACAGGACATTTAACGCTTTTCCCACAATCGGAACTACCGATCTCTTTTCTCTCGTCTGCAGTAGCTCTATTTCCTTCAGGTAATTTTGCATGTTCCTCCATTGAGCCTCTATCATAGTGGCCTCCGATTCTAGAGAATGTAATAATCTGAGATATCCTTTCTCCTTGGAATAATCTTGTCCTACCTTCAACCGGGCTGCATCCAGCTGCCTTAGCTCATTTCTTAGTTTATTTAATAGCGACTTTTTAAAATCTTTTTAAATCTATCACGAATGTGATCAACCATTTCAACCTGGTTATTATTACTTCACTCGTCTTTTTAAAAAAATGGTATTTCGGCTGTGCTTCCAAGCTTCCGCCATTGTCATCATCAGTGTGGCTACCATCATCATCATCATCATCAACCCTTTCATTTTGGTCATTCCTGCAAGGCAACAAGATTCTCTTGTTTTTATTCTTTCTAACCATTCCGTTTTGTTCAATTCTTCACTCAATTATTCCATAATTTCTTTCTTAGTTTCTTCAGCCCTTCCCTCCCCTAACTGACTCCTAGCAGATCGAATGGCCTGACCAGGCGCGCGGGGCTCCCCTCCAAAGGCCGAAACTTCATGACACCACTGCTGGCCAGTTAGCAATGCCAATAATCTTCTTCCGTCATTCGTTAGGTACAACTTGCGACTCCATCCCCTCCATCCACATCCACCACAGTCAGCCAGTAGGTTTTTGGATGAGCCAGTGTCGTTATCTGTCGACACCGAACGCTTCTATTCTTCAGAGGCTTCTTTGTTCTACTGAGATTTGGGCTTCTCCATCTCTCTCAATCTCATCTTCAGATGTAGTTCCTGTTCGACCTCTAACCTTCTCTCGAAAGTGATCAATTCCTCTTCAGGGGGTGTTCCGTCCCTTTCCTTTTCTCCTAATTCTTCATTCTGCTTCGAGTCTGTGCCTTGGACTTCTTCATTACTTCTTGATTCAACGTCTAGATCTCACTTGTTTCTTAGCCTTTCTCTGAGCTGGGAAAGGGGTATCTGATCCTCTTCCTCTCACTCACTGAGCTCTTCTTTTTGTTTAGGGTGTTTCTCTTTAGAACCCTTGACTGCTTGACTGGATTTCTTCGCTTTTCATTTCCTTTTCTTTGGACATGGGAGCGAGACGGTGAAATCATAGGGTCTCCTCTGCACCGATTCAGGCAACGACTGAACGCAGCTAGTCCCCGCCGAAGGTTCCAACTCCGTCACTCGGATAGCTTCGTCCAGATGGCTAAGTCGATCTATCTCTTTATTTTCCTCGGAATCCTCTTCTGTCTCCATTTCTTCCAGTTCAACCAGAGTTACTTTCCTTGTTCTTGTCTTATTAAGCCTCGGCTCACTCATTTCTAGGTTAGCTATTTCAGCTTTCTTCAGATCATTGGCATGGGCCCTCCTTGCCCGTCCTACCACTTGATCCCATATTACATACGATACTGGACCTGTCTCCTCTACTATCTGGTAGTATGGTTCCCATCTCTGGTCCAGCTTTCGTTCTCTCTGGTGAATTTTATAGTAGACAGGGTCTCCAACCTTCAATTCTACTATCTTTCTTTCAGCATTCACTCTCTCATTTCTTCTCTTCTCTGCCCTCTTTATTCTTCTTCTGGCCTGTACAAATATTTTATGTTGTTGTTCCAGCAACAGCTGATGATGATCTTCCCCCATATACTTTCTTTGGTGCTTCAACAAGTTATCCACAGGCAGGACCACGTTTCTGCCAAATAACATAAAGTATGGCGAAAATCTGGAGTTTCGTTTATAGTAAACCTCACGGCCGTCAGTGTCTGTGTCAAGTACAGATCCCAATTTCCTGTATTTTCTCTAGCCAGTTTAGCTAACACATCTCCCAAGGTTCTATGAAATCTTTCCACTTTAGCGTTTCATTGGGGGTGATATGGAGATGTTTTTATGTGCTCTATATTCAAACCTGTCAGCACTTCTCTCATTATGGTGTTTATATTCTCTGTGCCATTATCAGTGACAAGTTGCACCGGGGCGCCTAGGGAAGATTTCACTTATTATCAAATCGGCTACAGTTTTAGCTTTCTTGTCTGGTACTGCAAATGCCTCAGGTCAATTTGTTAGCCAATCAATAAAACTCACTATATAGTTATTCCCTCATGCAGTTTCCCCATATGGTCCTGATACATCCATACTTTCTCGAAGGGGAAGCTTGGCACATCCATCCCTTCCAATGGTGCCATTTCCTGCCTTCTACTCTGCGACTGGCACACTACACAACTCCGAACATAATTAGTGACCTCTCCGTACAATTTGGGCCAATAGTACTTTCTCCCTATTAGGTCATATGTTCTATCAATTCCTATGTGCCCCAACCTGTTCTTTAAATGATACTACTTGCTTCAATTGTAGAATATAAAGATGATCAAAGCGTTATCATAAAAACAATAAAATTAGAATGAAAGAAAACTAATCAAGAATTAATAATGGCAATGATTCATCGGAAATTCATACAACTTAAAACTGTAAGAATACAAAAGGTTATTATCTCCCTTTGATTAACATAAAAACATGAGAGTCAAATAATGGCCAGTGAGCCTGGAGAAGAAGGATGTCACTAGCCTTCAACTGTAGGGCTTACAAGGAAAACTACATGACCTTACCAGGTGCATAGAGAAACTACTATACAACCAATTTTCCTTTCAAGGAAATATTACAAGATCTTTTGTCTTTGTCATATTTTTGCACTGCTTGTTGTTGTATACACATGTTATAATTTCTCTGTGTGGGACAAGTGTAAATGTTTGTATTTAATTTTTTGTATGACTTTGTGTTATAAAACTCTCTCTGAAAACAAAGCATGTTTGTTATTCCTTTTCTTTCAGCTATTCCATTCTGTCTATATATTAAGGTGTTATTATATTATGAATATATTAATGCCCATAATGTGAGGAAGTGCAAATTGGGAATATTCCTTTCTACCATAGCTCACCTCATAACTGGTGATCCTGATGTGATTTTAAGTGATTTATCTTCCCAGTCTTTAGTGAGGACATATTTTCCAATAGAAAAACAGCAAGTCATGTGTATTTCCCAACATGTGACTGCAAGTTGGAAATATTTTCTCTATGTCTCTAATGAAGACATATTTTTCCCAGTGGGAAAATGACACTATGAGCTTGTGAGCTGCCTTCATGGACACTTGACCAGGTAAGGTGCTTTGGCCCATACTAAAAAAGTAAATGCTCTGTTTGATTCTTGGAAGCTAACTGACAATTGACCACTTTCACCACTCTATGCACTGGTATACACAAGGTGAAAGATACCAGCCCCATTAACATATGAACATGCAAACAAATAGGATATATTCTTTCCACACATAAAACGTCATAAACTGGTGTACCCAAAATGAAAGATACCTACTCCGTTAAAATTATTATAATTCCATATTTAAAATATCATAAGAAAATTAAATTTTATTAATTGTTCTTACCACGTTCTTTTTCTGGAAAAAGTTTGGAGAAATTATATTTAATTGTTCCTTTCATATTGTCAACTGTACAAAAAGGATCTTCACATAATTTTAAAGCTACCTGCAAAAGAAATTTTGAAAATGAAATTATTCCAGATGATGAGAAAACAATAATTTCAATTTTAGAAACAAAATCTCTTAAGAAATTTAAGAAAATGAGATTCAGTAGAATTGATTCTTAATTTAAAAACATTCAGCTTTAAATTGCAAAATACATTGTGGATTAAAATTCAGAGCCAGATACAGGATTTTGAATAGGATGGGATCAAAATGGAATAATTTATGTTTGGTACAGATAGTGGTCAATATCTTGGCATGGATTTTAAGGGCTTTTAATAAATGTTGGCATTTTTATTTTTGTGTTTTTTTTTTTCAAGTAAGTTGTAGCTTTTCAACTTGAGAATTGAGAAGACAGTAAAGCAAAATAAATAATCAAAGAAATTTACTACAGGATCAAAAAATAAAACAAATTATAAAGAACAAGATGAAAGAAATTTTATATGAAATGAATTAAAAACAACAATAATTTTCTTTTAAGGTTAATTTGGATTGTATTTCAAAAAATATTTTGTTTTGATATTTAAAATGAATTTTTATTATTTTGCCCAAGCTGGAGATGGGTATCTAGTCTCCTGAAGAACCTCACCCAATAATTTGTCGCTGCCATTCAAATAAGTCACTGGTTCTTAACCTTTTCTTCTCTAGCATCCTTTTTCAGATACTTGCACAAGCTGGCACCCACTATATTAAAACCTGACACCCGTGATACTTGTGGGTGTAGGAAAGTGAAGGATGGCCTCAGTTATTTTATTCATTGGTTTCACCCCATCAGCCATTATTAAGAACTGGGCAAACTTTACCTTATAGTCTACAAAATGGAATTTGTCAAGGTTAAACATAATCCAATTCTTCCCACAGTGGGTTATATGTTCCATTGTGTACCAGAATGAGGATTCTATAGAATTGTTCCAAAAGAGGCTATCATCTATGCAACAGGTTTTTTGATCATGTCCATTGTAATATAATCAAATTGGTGGGTATTTCTGTCTCCAGATGCATGAAATCCCTAGGGAGCACAAAGATATCTGTACTGGATTCATTCAGTGATCTTTTTGGGGTGTGACTACCATCTTTGAATACTGATTTGTAGGAGAGCCCATTGGCACTGGTTCAGTCAGTGCAATGTCTTGATTGAGTTCATTTCACTCTCTTCTTCCAATGGTGAGAGACAGGGATTGTGTGTGGATTGCTGATAATGGCTCATCAGGGACAAAAGTAATGTCCAATAGCTTTCTTTTCATGGTCTGTAAGAGTTGGTGTGGGCAAGTATTAAATGCACTGGACTTGAAATAGTCCATATTCATCATTCTAGTAGATGCCTGTTGGTTCTTATCTTAAGGAACAGGATGGTACTAGGCATCACTAGAATGGATTTTCTGCATGAGCATGTGCTCAGGTCATTTTCCTTTGCACCCTTCAATAAGTTGAGCCATGATGACTGATTTTTTTTGTTTCTGTAGCAAATTTGATTTGTGAGTGGAATCAAGAATTTAGTGCAACCTGGAAGAAACCATTAATCGATTAAAGCAAAGTATCTCTGTAGTTGCCATAGGGATGTTGGTTGTGGAAATTGCTGTATTGCTGCAACTCTCTCTGGAACAGGGGCAATACCATGTTCATCAATCACATGGCTGAAGAAAGTCAATTGAAGAACAGCAAATTTACATTTGTTCACATTCATTTTTTAACCAAAATGTGCCAGTATCTCAAAAACTTGTTGTAAGTAGTCATTGTTATGATATAGAAGTGTTTTCAAATTATTAGGTATATTGTGGCAGAGCAAAGAAAAAACAACAAAAATTTAAAGCAATTTAAAGTAATAAACAATTGTATTAACATAAATACAATAAATGAAAAATGAGGGTAGATATCTCTGTATAAAAAAAAAGATAAGTTGTAAAGGCATCTGATGAGACATGGAAGGAGAGGAAGGATAAGCTGTGACTTACTAGGGTGACAGAATAAGTGAGTTGGTCAGGTGATGGTGTTAGTGAGCTGGTCAAGTCTGATCTATTTGGAGATAGGAGGTTGTTTTTTGAGTAGCATGTGAACTTGGGCTAAAATGCCATCCAACTGCCAGATGTTCCTTTGAAGAGCTCCAATTTTCATTTTGTTCTTTTAGGAAGTAGTGGGTGCTATTAGGTTGAAATTCTGGATTGTATTGCCTTTTTTTCGTTGAGTGTGTGAGTAAATGAAAGATATATGTGGAGCCTTGTGCAGCTGACAGATTTTTAGTTGAGATTAGCCAATCAAAGTATTCACATCCAGCTAGTTGTGGAGATTAGTTTAGCATAAATGAGAAGATCTGATTTTAGGAAGAATGTAACAGTTCCCCTAGATCTTATTCAGATTCATGAATGGGTTTGTGTGTTGTATGTATGGTGTGGTGATGCTTTTTTTTTTAGTGTATAATGAAATTTAGAAAATGTTTTGGTAACTGACTATGTGTTTATCTTTTGGGGTTTCTTCTTTAGAATATGGGAACTGATGGCTGTGTGAGATTGCTAGATATGTAGTCTTCATCATTTACATGATTGTCAGTTGAAGAATGAGCTACTGAGTCTGGCATTGCTTGGAGAGTCTATGGAGGAAGGGACAAGTTTGTATAATTAAGGTAATCTGACTGTGGTACAAGTCGATGTACATGAGTGCAATAAACCCAACTAGTTTTACCATGTTCATTTGCAATTTGGAGTACCATCTCATTTGTTTTGTTGACTTGGTAACTACCAATTATTCAATGACAAGTTGACACAAGGTGCTCATCCAGGCATCAGATTAGTTTTAATATCTCTGGTTCACTTGAACAAGTTTATTCCCCTGTATCAGCAAACACTAGGATATGATAACTACTGTAGCTAATTGAACCAGTGTGTGTGCATTTAAATGAAGCATGGGTTTGATGCATTATGTTCCCTTCTGTTGTCAATGATGGCAGAGCATCTGGGACACCTCATTCAAATCGCTTTCCATTCCACACAATATGAGGCACAGCTCTGGGCAGTGTCAAACCGGTTTTACAACTCCATTTTGATCTGCCAGTATAGTAGATAATGTGGATGGGAGGACTAGTGTTTGTGAAAGTGAATGAATCCTGCCCTCTCTCACATTTTGTTTATCTGTTTGTGATCCCAATTTCAATTTTAGTAGATTTCTGGCATACCCTTTTCATGTGACCCCTATGACAAGGTTGACAGGTTAACATCATTTAGTAAATGTGCATCTGACTTGTCCAGCATTTCCAAGCTGACAAATTGATCAAGCTTAAGTGTGGCGGAGTTGGCAGCCTTGGTCAAAACTTGACTGGTGTTCATTGTTGGTAATTCTTGCAATCATCTGTCCATTGTCATGCTGCACAAGTAGTTGACCACAGCCTTCCATGTTGGGATAACAAGTAAAGTTTGCCTACAGCTTGGAGCCTTGTTAAAACATGAATAATTGACTCACCTTCCATCTGACATCTGGAATGAAAGGTTTGCTGGTGAACTTCTTTGTGCAAACCTTTTACTGTAATGAATTGGATTCGTTTCTTCCATAGCCAAACTTAAGGTTTCAGCCCCTATAAGGTTGAAAAGGAGCCTAATGACTTCAGGCAAGCATGTTGTTTTCAGTTCATTGAGTATTTCGAATGGGTTGGTAAGTTTTACACATCTCCTCATATGGAGTTCAAGCATCAAGGAATAATACCCAGTCATTGTCCATTGCATTGGGTTTAATGACAAGGCTGTCTTTCTTTTGTGTTGGACGTTTGCATTGCATTAGGAGTTCTGTCTCCCCGATGGGCAATAGTTTCCCTTTATAGCTCTATCATTTGTTGCATGAGCAATCAAATCAACAGTTCTGCCTTGTGCAGATGCTATGTCTTATTTTGTTAAGATAGTTTTATATATTCATCTGATCCTGTTCACAGTGCCATGTAAAATAACCACAATGTTGTAGTGTAAATTGTAACCCTCCCTAGATTACTAGTACCCTTGCAGATTGTTATGGTCTGGTTCCTTGTACCACGGTGATAGTCTAAGGTAGAATCAATAAAGAAGAATGTGAACACTGGTATGGAATAACACAGATATATTACAAACAGGAATATATACAGAGAAGTAGAAGTGTTAGTATGAACAATCAGGTTTAGTAGAGAGAACAATGTAGTCTCGACCAGTATCACTATTCCAATGTCTTGCAGTAATTGTCTGAACGCGACTGTGTTTCGGACTGCCTCTGACTCAACTCTTGACTCGACTTGAACTACTGACTCTACTTGAACTACTGGCCCACTTAAACTACTGACTGACTATATTTAGTCAGTCTCCACGTGAGCATCATGTGGCACAAGGCCAGTTTAATGTGGGATCTCGGAGCCCGTTGGCTCGGCCAAAAATATACCCATTGAACCCGTATAAATGGGCTCAGGGTCGGTTTACCTCCCCAAAAGAGAATCCGCCCTTCAGCGTAGCCTCATTCGGGTTTCTCCCCGCCCAAAGGCAGAGAGTTCAACCGATCAGCCGGTCGACCGAGATCAACTTGAACTACTGATTGACGATATTCAGTCACCCCCCCCACGAGGGTGTCATGTGGCACAAGGCCTTTTTAACGTGGGAATTCCCGAGCCATTAGGCTCGCAAAAAAATAGCCCATTTGAACCCGTATAAACGGGTTCAGGGGCCAGTTTAACCTCCCCGAAGGAGACTCCGCCCTTCGGCGTAGCCTCCTTCGGGTTCCTCCCGCCCGTAGGAAGAGAGTTCGAACCGAGCAGTCCGTTCAAAAGTGAACTGCTGACTGACTCCTTGCCTACTCCTGAGGTGCAGTATTTTTTAAGTATGGAATAGTTAATTATTATTATTATGGGTAAGATCCCATAACACCCCCCTTCCGAAACTTTTGCGTGGCAGGTTTTTTTTTTAATATTTCTCTTTCTTTGGATCTATTTCCAAAGGTTCAGTGAATTTTCTTTTTCTTGATGATTTTCTTGGTTCTGGCATTGTTTGTGGTCTTTTTATATTTAATATGTCGAAAATCGTGTCCAATACCTCTTCTTGAGGTGGACCATTAGTATCCTGTAACGGTCTCTTCCTTATTTGGTTTACGTGTCTTCTGTATGAGAATTTTTTCCTTGTACTATGTACATCATATTACCAATTCTTTTCTCAATTATGCCTTGCTCCCATTAAGAGGTATTATTTTTATATGCCTTAAAAAAAACTTTTTCTCCTGGGAGGAATTTTCTTTTTGATGCGTAGGACTGTGTTACTTGTTTTGTTTTACTTGGTAGTAATTTATCGAACGCTGATCTGATTTTCCTAGCAAACATGACTTCGGCTGGTTCCTTTTTGACGTAGACCGTTGGTGCGGCCCATTTTCTGTATTCTACTTTTTTCAATATGCCCGTATTTTCGAGTCTAGTTAATTCTTGGTCAATTTTTTCTATTGACGCAAATGGTACACTCCTTTTTTTCCTGAAAACAGGTTGAACGTTTTCCTTTATTTTGATATTAGCTGCCATTTTCTTACATCTTCCAAGACCTGCTGAAAATACTTCGGGGAAACTCGTTTTTAGTTTTCCTTTTAATTTGTCTGCCTCAGTTGATAAGCTTTTTACATTTTGGCAATACGTACTAATAGGTAAATCCCACAATTCGAATTTTTGCATCCAATCTGTTCCAAATAGGTTTTCGGTATTTCTTAAAACGTACATTTTCCATTTTTTTCGTCATTCCATTAAATGTTACGTTTGTAATTACTTCACCCTCGAATTTTATCTTTCTCCCCGTAACTGATCTAGCAATTTTATCCATTTTTAACATGACAGGTTTGTTCAGTTTTCTCCATGTTTGTAGGTTTATGATAGTTAAGTCTGAGCTAGAATCCAGGTGTAACCTAACTTTTCTGTTTTGCATTTCAACTTGCACATATTTTCTTATATTAGTCTCATCTGCTTGATCAGTCCTCGTAATTCTTATTCTGCTTTTGATTTCTTTTCTATACCAACAGTGAGAACTTTTGTGGTCAAATTTTTACATGATAGACAAGTTTTAGCACGATATGTACAGTCTTTAACCCAATGCCAAGACCCACAACGATAGCATGGACTGGGTGGTAGTTTTTTTATGTTGATTATAATTACAAAATTTTGTCTTACCTGTTCTTGAGGCGGGAAAATCGGTTCGGTTTGTTTGTGAGGAGGGAAAATTTATTTGTCTTCGTACTTTGCGTACGTGTGCTATGCCAGTTTGTTCTATGTCTTTTGAGTCTTTCTTCACACTGATGCATCTCTGGCAGTCTTCGGCTAGTTTTTGAAGTATCAGATCTTGTTCACTCTCCAATTTAGTAAGTATTCTGTGTCTCATTTCCGCGTCTTTGGTTGAAACCAGGCCTTGGACATAAATTAAGCATTTGAAATTGTCCGCGCTGAGTTCCGATAATCTGAAGTCGTCACAATATTTGTTAACAATGGATGCGAAAATTATGTAATCTTCGCTGTCCTTTTTTGTAAGGCTCAAGCATTTCCATCTTTTATGGAATAGTGAAGTTTTATGGCTGAAAAGTTCCGTTAGCAGTTTTATGGATTCTTTGAACGTTAACTCGCTTGTTTTTTCTGGGAAGGATATAATCAACGAATTTGGTATATTCGCCTGTGCCTAATTTTCTTAGTAATAGGCGAACTTTACGTGCGTCTGACCAATCTTTGCAGTCAAAATCATATATATCTTCGTACCTTCGGAAGCAATTTGCAAAAGTTTATCTCCATCGGGTGTGTACTTGAAAACTTCGATATTACTCCAAATAGTGTCTTGTGAGAGAACTGTTTCGTTCTCGGATTTTTGCTCCTTATTTGTCATTGCGCTTAACAATAATTCTTGCAATTCCAGATGTTTCTGTTCGTACCTTTGTTGCTGTTCAAATTGGATTTTGATAAGTTCCATAATAGTTGACTTAAAATCTTCCATGTTAACGTATTTTTTTTTTTTTTTTTTGTGTAACCTGATATTCTGTAGCCTGTGCACACTTCGTATTACCCTTTTAGGGTTTCTTCGTCGCCACTTGTTATGCGCGACGGATAGCAAAAAAAAAGAAAAAAGAAAAAAGTTATGTCCTCCGCGTAGAGAGTTGGTTTCTTCGTCGCCACTTGTTATGCTGTGGCGAACAATATTTTTTTCTTCCACCGAATGAATTCGAATCTACGTCGTCACTTGTTATGCTGTGGCGAACAATTTTTTTTTCTCTTCTACCGAATGAATACGAATCTTCGTTGCCACTTGTTATGGTCCGGTTCCTTGTACCACGGTGATAGTCCAAGGTAGAATCAATAAAGAAGAACGCGAACACAGGTATGGAATAACACAGATATATTACAAACAGGAATATATACAGAGAAGTAGAAGTGTTAGTATGAACAATCAGGTTTAGTAGCGAGAACAATGTAGTCTCGGCCAGTATCACTATTCCAATGTCTTGCAGTAATTGTTTGAACACGACTGTGTTTCGGACTGCCCCTGACTCTGGAGGAGGTAATTTATGTGTGACTGTTTGAGGAAGTTGCACATTATGAGATCTTCCATTTCTACTCTACAGTGGGATATATCTTTCTTGCCATAAACATTCTTGGAATTTTCTCACTAATACCTCAAAATTTCCTTTTTCTGTGTCAGTGAATATTAGGGCATTCTATTGCCTTTTCTCTGGTCATGTGTTGGAATAAGACACATTTTATTTTGTCCAGTTTGACAATTTTTTTTGACACCACAATGTACAATTTAAATTTCTGTAACCGGTTACAGTAATTTTCTTCAATGTTTCCTTCCCAGGGTATCTGTGTGGGAGGTTAAAAAATATCCATTGGCATTATGTATGAGCTTTTATTTCTGACACCATGTAATATTTCCATGAGGAGTGTTTTGCTATGAAAGACAGCAGCAACTTAAGAGACAGTTCTTTATTCCACAGTTTACACATGTTCAAAAAGTATGATGTCTGTGTCTCACAGCAAGCTCCTGTTTATTAGCTCACTGGCAGTACTTTGCTGTTACATTTGTTCTTGTCCAGTCATATGTGGGTTTATAAGAACATGATTTAGATATAACATTATTTTTAGTTTGATGAAAAAAAATCAAATCAAATTTAGAATATGATTTTTAAACATTAAAATGTTCAAATGAAAATTTAAAAAAAAAAACAGTTTTAAATAGAATATCTCAAAAGAGATAATTTTACAGATTTTTCACTTTCTCTTTCTAATTTTTTTTTTTTTTGGACAATAGAAATTGACTTACTATGCTGGGAAATTTACATAGCAGTTTCAACATTGTCGTGTAATCTAAGTTATGACCATCACAATCCAGTAGAAATTTTACAGCTGCTGGTTTTTCTGTGAAAAAGATATGAAATTGTATATACAAATAAATTTTGTTATTCAAAGAATTGTGTGAGGGCATTTTTCAGGTGGAAGGAATAACATCCCATAATAGTATTGTAGTGTCTTAAATAAAATATCCCCACCCAACAGTATAGTAAGGATGTATTAAGCCCACCAGGTATGTCAATGTAAATAATGTAAATACATTATTTACATTGTTCGAACTGTTGTCCTCATCTTTATTACCATATTCACAACATTTTGGCCATTGTACGCTTCTTCAGGTGATTAGAATTTTGAACTGAACCCTTTATTTCATCTACTGGGGTAGACTGTTCTCGTTCCATGCCATACCTCTTCTGGATGTCTCAGTTATCTCTCTTTAACTCAACTCTCCAAGTTTTGTTCACCACTGCAGTAGTCAGCTATTGAACCCACAACTCTTTGGGTCAAGTCACTGGACCAACCAACCAACCAACCAACCAACCAACTAACGCTTTTATCCACTGGACACATGGCCCAGTGGATAAAAGCATATGTGTAAATTGTCAGAGTGATGGATGTAAAGTGTTTGCCAGTCAAGAGATGCCTTCCTACTGATTTGTAGTAGCTTGCTTATATTGGCATCATTTACCTGCTGGTAGAGCCTTGCACATAAACGGGTTAGTTCAATATTGTTGGAGGGGGGCTACCAGTGTTTTGCCAAAGAATGTCCCTCCATTTAATATGTCTGATGTACTACTCTACATGCCACCCACTCTCATGGAACCACAAGACATTTAGGTTGTGGTCACCTGGATATTCTTGAATACTTGTGCGATGTACCTAGCATCTGTGGAGATTGGTTTCCTGGTTGTCACAATATTCTTGTGCTATTATGTGGGCCCTGGCTTGGTGGTGGTTGATTTATTTGATGTTGATCTTCATCATCCTCCATCATTGTGGGAACTTCCATCCTTTCCAGATCATCTGCATCCTCCACTTTTGCTTTCATTTTCACTGACAACTGGACACTAGTTGGGAACTATCTTTTGGAGGAAATGGCAGTTGCAACGAGTCACCCGGTTACTCTCATTGATGCATATGTGGTACTGCCTGTTGCCTAGTGCATCTACCACACTTCCAGTTTTTGCCCATTGATATGGGTATGGGCTGACTTAGCTGTATATCTGGACAGATTCTCCAATTCTTAGTTCCTGAAGTGGGTGACTGTGTGTGTTGTAGCACCTTTCATTTTTCATGAGTTTTTTGGTCATTGCTGTTTCCCTATACCAACTGATTTCACCCCACCATGTGTGAATTTGGTATTTGTCCTGGAGGGCTGGGAGATTGTCTTTTATCATGTGGCTATACAACATCATTGCTGGAAACATGTCCAGGTCTTGGACGGCGGTGTTATTATGTGTCAGTAGGGATATGGTTTCGTGATCATGTCATAGATGGCCATAGCTCTCAGTGCTGTCCAGTAGTATTCATTTAGCTATTTTGACAACCAGTTCTGCCCATCTATTGCTCTGGGAGTAGTATGTTGATGATGTGTGCTTTCTTATACCCCAGTTCTCCAGGAACATGTTATACTCCTGGGAATTAAACGGTGGTCCTCTGTCAGACGATATTTTTTGGGGGGGGCACATGCACATGTGGCTCTGGCATTCCTGGAAGACATAAAGGCAACCTCTACCCATCCCATATATTGATCTGCATATATCATATAGTTTTTTTCCTTGCAGGTTGAAGAAATCCATCACCATCTTCTGGAATGGAAATTCAAAGTTCAATGGTGTCATCAAAGGTTCCCTGGGTTGTGACAAGGCCATTATGTTGCATGTTTTGCATTGTGCTTAGGTCTGATGAATACTTGCGTCTAGTCCAGGCCAAAACAGTTGTTGTTTGGTTTTAACCAGCATGCCATTAATGTCCTGATGTGTGGAGTGGAGTGATTCAAGTACTTCCTGTAGTTTTCTGAGTATCAGTATTTTATTCATTATAGTTACTCCTTCCAAGCAGTATAATGCCTCTCCAGCTGTTCATGAGATCCTTTTTGTATATGTTTCACCAGGGACCAATGATCCTGTTGTATTTGATTGCTCTTAATTTGGAGTCCTGCTCATAGGTGGAACTGAATGATGCTTTTATAGCACTGTTGGTGATTTGTGCTGCACCTTTATTAGTTTCCCCATCTTGTATAGGTGTTGCAGGTTGCCTTGATGTGTAATGTAGTGCAGTGTTGAGTTTCCCAGGGAGGTGTTTTATGTGGAACATACATCAAGAACCATTCCTAGAATCTGAACAGTCGTGGGTTCTTTATATCTTCCATAGACAAGTTCGAGGGTATCCACATGGGGCCTTTCTGTTGTCACTGGTTGCCATGTTTTGCTGTGAGGTTGGGGTTGAAAAGTTGGGAGGTAATAAGCCTAGATCCTTTAGGGTTGATTCAGACAGGGAGAATCCAGACAACACATATATGGTTTGGCACATCTCCGATGATCCAATTCTGATGTTAGCGATGTTAGTGAATATCACACCTTCTATATGTAGTTGATTCTCTCTGATGGCCCAGATTTGTTGACTAGGCATATCTAAGTACTAGTCTGGGCATTTTAGAACTTCCTGTATTTCAGGTTCACTGGAAAATATCTGCCCCAGTCAACTATAGCATCAATTTGGTGGGTGCAGAAGCTAGTTGGTCCCATGGAGATGTGCCTGAATTCTGCATGTGTTTCCAGAATTAAGGTTATCTCCATTGTCAGGGATGGTGGTGGTTTCAGAGACCTCCCTTGGAACTTGCTTCTATTCCAAATGGGGTGAGGTACGTTTTTTGGTTGTGCTGGGTTGGCTTTACCCCTCCATTTCCTTTGTCCATATTGGTAGGTCATCATGCTGGGACTCTCCTTGTACCCTTTTGTGGTGAGAATGTGGGATTCCTCTTTTGCTATGTGTTGACCCATCAGTGGGACTCTTTTTTGTTTTTGGCATACCTCTCCATGTGCCTGATTATTCCACAATTGAAGCATACCATCTTGGCTGCTGGGCAACCCTTATGATCCCTCAGTCTGTCAGGGTGTGACTTCTTTCCACATCCTCTGCAGTGCTTGGCATATTGTGGAGTCAGGGAGGTCTTGGCTTTCTGGAACCATTGCTCACAGTCCAACCTCTGCACATTGGATAATGTTACGGGGTGCATGGTGTTATAGAGATGGAGTGTATAGAGATGGGGTGCATAGAGGTGGGGTGTGTTGATTCATCTGTCATTTCAAAACTGACTAGCCTGTTGAACTTCTGCTCTAGTATTGTGAGGGTCACAACCTCTGCCAATATCTTGCTCTGGTGTTTGACATTGGCAAGTCCTGCTACCATTTTCCATAGTTTACTTGTCAACTGCAGTCTGTTTCATTTGAGAAAGTTACTGAAAACTTGCAAAATTTGACCACTGATTGTAAGCGAGCTAGAAAGTGTGTGATTGATTTGCCCTCTTTCTACCTCATAAAGTGGAAGTTTTGCCTGTGTACATCTTTATGCTGCCCACTGACCGCGATGAGTCTTACTTGTCATAATAGGTGCCCTTCTGTGGCAGAGTTGAGTGTCTCGACTCCCACCAGGTCAAATAGCAGTCTGCTCACCTCAGGGGATCATGCCATTCTCAGCTAGTTCCATATAATTGCTGGGTCTGTCAACTTGTACATTTCATTGTAACAGTTCCATATATTGATAAATATCACCCAGTTGTTGTCAATTGAGTCTGGTCCTATCGTAGGTTGATCTGTTTTTGATGTGGAACTTGTTTGGTTGGCCACGAAATCCTTCTAGTGAGATATTTTCTTTTTGTAACTCAACAAGTTATTGCATGAGCTGCAAATACCGCTGGTCTACAGCTAGTCTCGTCTCCATGCTTCAAAGTTGTGAATTTTGAAGATTGGTAATTTTCCATAGTCTTATACAAAAAGTCCTATTGGTGATGACATGTAAAGTGTTAGAGTGATGGGTTTAAAGTGTTCGCCAGTCAAGAGATGCCTTCCTACTGTTTTGTAGCGGCTTGCTTATATTAGCTTTATTTACCTGCTGCATGGATGGGTTTTAGTCCAATATTGTTGGGTGGTTACTGGTATTGTGTCAAAGAATGTCCCTCTGTGTAATATTTCTGATGTACTACTCTAAAGTATGGAGTCTGTATCTCACAGCAAGCTCCTGTTTATTATCTTACATTACATCAACAAAATCTTGTTCAGGAAAGTTCTGTACCAAGGGGAGTAATTCATGGTTATTTTAGTTCATGCACACATGTTACACTCTATGTTGGCAATTCAGTTAATTTTATCTTAACAATTCTTGACTTTTCTTACTGACTAACCGGCAGTACTTTACTGTTATATTTCTTCTTGTGGAGTCATATGTGGGTTTATAACAACATGATTTTGATATAACATCAATTATTTTTAGTTTGATGAAAAAGAAATCAAACCAATTTTAAAATATGATGGAAGGAATAGTATTTTCAAGGACACATAGCCCAGTGGATAAAAGTGTTGATTTGATCCAGTGACTTGACCCAAAGAGTTGTGAGTTCAATACCTGGCTATTGTAGTGGTGAACCAAAACTTGGAAAGTTAAAGGAAGATAACTGACACTGAGACATCTGGAAAAGGCATGGCATATAGAACTAGAACAATCTACCCCAGTGGATGAAATAAAGGGTTTAGTTTGAATTAAAAATGTAAATTTATACCTAATTCCAGAAATTTTTATTAGGTACTTAGTGTGGGGCTTAAAAAACAAATTACCATATTCATTTTTTTAAAGTTACGCTTTTTTTTACTATAGATATGGAAATAATTCAAGAGAATAGAAATTTTAAAAATAAATGTAGCATTTTGAAATTAACAGCAGAATTAAAAAGTAAAAACGAACGGGAATAATAATTATTTCCATTGTTTTTTTTACTTCTTAATTCTGAGAGTTTCGAATGCATTAATGCAATTATTACGTATTTTTAATTTTAAAATATCTTTGTAAAT